CACACCCACCCACACCCCACACCCTACTCGGGGTTCATTTCTTTATGTTATCTTGAACAAAGCACTTCGTCAACAAGATTATGTGCTTCTCTTTACACTTCGCTTTTTCATTCACGATCTATTTTATTTGTTGCTGGAACGAAAGCAATTCGAACAAACGGTTATCACTCTTTATTGTGGTCAAGCGCTTGATGTTGCAGAATTAAATAATCTAATTAAAAATCAGGGCAATTTCATCTCTATGAACAGTTTTCTATCGACAAGTCGAGATCGATCAGTTGCACACTTTTATGCAAATATGGCTGTTAATTCAAATAATATTCGATATCATCCGGTTCTCTTTGAGATCGAAGTTAATACGACTCGTACTGATACTAAACCGTTTGCTGACCTTAAGTATGATAGTCAGTTTTCTGATGAAAATGAAGTATTGTTCATGACAGGATCAATTTTTCGGGTTGTTAATGTTAAAAAGGGCTCTCAAGATGATCCATTTTGGTCGATCAAATTGATATTGTGTGGTGAAGAAGACAATCAATTAAAAGAAGTTTTCAAATATTTGAAAGATGAATTAGATGATGAAACTGATATGGGATCTGTAGGAAAAGTTTTATATGACATGGGCAAACACGAACAATCGTAAATAGCTTTTGACATTGATCGACAACATACGAGAATTAGAACTAACGGCGAATTTGGCTATCCTTTAGAAGAATACACTCCAGGAATATATTATCCAGAAATATTGAAAGAATCCCAAGAATTAGCAGAAAAATTGATCGCAAACAATGGTGATCGAGGACTACTTGCAATTTGTTACAATTCTATGGGTTCGATCTACAGAGATTATCAACAATATGACAATGCACTTGAAAACTTTTCGAAAGGCCTCGATGTCCTTTTAAATTTTTACAATCAGGATCATCTTGAAATTGCAGGGTTTCATGAATTTATTAGTCAGATTTATGAAAGGCAAGAAAAAATTCAATTGGCCATAAAATCATCGAAAGAATGTCTTCGAATCAGGCAACACCTTTTGCCAGAAGCACATCCGATGGTGGGGTGTGGGTGTGGGTG